ATATTAAGACAGTATTAGCATACTTGAGTCAGGATTTTAATATTTACATTGATATAAAATTCTCCAGGTACTAGAAAGAATTATTGATTAATAGTTTACATTTATGAAATTTATTATGAAAGTTAGTATAGGTATGGAATCCATGAACCGCCTCAAACACTGTTGTTCACATAACTGCATTGTGGCCTACATGTAAACATTCGGACTTTCCTTTAAAAATAGATAAGTAATGAAATATACAATACTTTATATATCCCTATCATACATCAGTATGTAAACTATAACCTTTATACGATGGTAAGTTTCAGTTTAAAACAATTTTGAACGTATGTATATAAATATGGGTGTGACATGTGTGAGTGTCTCTATACAAAAGTGCACCACCTCTAAAGTAACACTTCAACATCATGCAACATGTGACTTTGTGCATGTTCCGACTTCAAAATATGCGTATTCACCAGATTAAGCTAAAAGGGGATGGGACAAGCTTTAATGGGCATCCATGTGCTGAGACAGGTAGAATTTTAGAAAGAAGTATTGAATTATCAAATTTGTGGCCAAAACGCTTTAATATGTAAACCTTTAAATTTTCTTCTATATAATACACGCTGAACATGTGAGGAAAAAAGAATTTACATAATGTTGAAATTTGTGAATATACAAAAATCAATATATTTCCTGAAATTTGTTATGTGTCTCCTTATTAGCATGGATACTATACTGGACATATAACATTAAGCCATATGTGTTCTGTTTTATCAGTACCTGACCTTTGACATTACTTTTTTGGTTTATTGGTACCTAACCTTTCGTCTTACTGTAAAATATGTTGTGTGTCTCCTTATTACCATGGATACTACACTGGCCATATAATATTAAGCCATATATGTGTTTATTTAAACTCAAAGCAGACAGTGTTCGGTGATCAAACCACTCACCAATACAGTAGAGCCTCCGGGCTTCTTCAAATTAAAATTGAGAACAAATAAAGCCTACATTAACTCAGTTTCTATACCGATACATTGTTTAGTATTGTTATTTATCCAGCAATAACATACATATTCTTACCGACAGTCAGGGGATAGGTTTATTGTAGGAAAATAAGTCCAGGGTCAACATACATATTCTTACAGACAGTCAGGAGATGGGCTTATTGTAGGAAAATAAGTCCAGGGTCAACATACATATTCTTACAGACAGTCAGGAGATGGGCTTATTGTAGGAAAATAAGTCCAGGGTCAACATACATATTCTTACCGACAGTCAGGGGATAGGTTTATTGTAGGAAAATAAGTCCAGGGTCGACATACATATTCTTACAGACAGTCAGGAGATGGGCTTATTGCAGGAAAATAAGTCCAGGGTCGACATACATATTCTTACCGACAGTCAGGGGATAGGTTTATTGTAGGAAAATAAGTCCAGGGTCGACATACATATTCTTACAGACAGTCAGGAGATGGGCTTATTGCAGGAAAATAAGTCCAGGGTCGACATACATATTCTTACCGACAGTCAGGGGATAGGTTTATTGTAGGAAAATAAGTCCAGGGTCAACATACATATTCTTACAGACAGTCAGGAGATGGGCTTGTTGTCCATAAGTCCAGGGTCAACATACATATTCTTACCGACAGTCAGGGGATAGGTTTATTGTAGGAAAATAAGTCCAGGGTCAACATACATATTCTTACAGACAGTCAGGAGATGGGCTTATTGCAGGAAAATAAGTCCAGGGTCGACATACATATTCTTACAGACAGTCAGTAGATGGGCTTGTTGTCCATAAGTCCAGGGTGAACATACATATTCTTACAGACAGTCAGGAGATGGGCTTATTGTCACTAAGTCCAGGGTCAACATACATATTCTTACCCAAAGGCAAGGGGTGGGCTTATTGTAGGAAAATAAGTCCAGGGTCGACATACATATTCTTACAGACAGTCAGGAGATGGGCTTATTGTCCATAAGTCCAGGGTCAACATACATATTCTTACCCAAAGGCAAGGGGTGGGCTTATGGTAGAAAATAAGTCCAGGGTCGACATACATATTCTTCCCATAGGCAAGGGGTGGGCTTATTGTTGAAAAAATAAGTCCAGGGTCGACATACATATTCTTACCCAAAGGCAAGGGGTGGGCTTATTGTAGAAAAATAAGTCCAGGGTCGACATACATATTCTTACCCAAAGGCAGGGGTGGGCTTATTATAGAACAATAGTTCCAGGAGGTTAACAGAGATATTCTGATTCAAAATCAGGGGTTGGGCTTATTGCAGGGCAATGATAAAGCTTTGTATTAGATATGTATAAGCTTATCACTAGACATTGGTACATTTCTGGATAAATAAAGTAATATAAGAACATCCCTTTGATTAAAAATACATGTACAGTAAGTGTAGTAACATTTAGATCATACACAATCTTACAAAACACAAGTGTTATTAAGTTTTTATAGGAAATATGATAACAGAATGATGTTGAATAAGACTGGGTGTTGTAATACTCAAAGGTTATATAACTTAACACTTCAATAGTATGATTTAGTGCAAAATCCTCAAAGCTGACTTTACTAATATACGTGATATTTCAACATACTAAGCTGTGATGTTATATCATTTTGTTAAGTAGTACAGCAGTGTTAAAGAATGAGACTGATCAAGACAAGAAATGGTCCTGCAGCTGGCCTTAACAATTAATATGTTCAAGGTTAGATGCTAAATTTCCATAACTTGGCTGACAATTGATATATCAATCAATTATAAGCATTGTCTGGCTAATGTATGACCATCTAGATCTGGTCATCAAACTGTATAGGTTTGACCACTGACCACTAAAAGCAGTATTGTTAACTCTCACAGTGAAACAGCAGTCATTTACAGGGAAAATCTATAATCATGTAATCTCGATTATACTCTCCCCTTGGGAATTACTAAATACAGTAAGTAATGTAGTAATGATTATGTTACTTTGTAATTAGGGCACCAGGGCAAAACTTACACAGTGACAAATACACTTATCTCTAATCAAAGCCCAGCCTGGTTCTATCACTCATATCAACATCTATTCCACAACTGATCATATTCTGATTCTGTTACTTGGTAACTGACATCTGACCTTACTCTGGTTTAGTTACTTAGTACTTCACCTTTGACCTCATACTGGTTCTATTTTATAATATCTGACATTTGACCTTACTCTAGTCCTGATACTTGGCATTTGATCTTTGACCTTACAGTGGTTCTGTTTTACTAGTATCTAACCTTTGACCTTACTCTGGTTCTGTTTCCTGGTACTTAACCTTTGACATATTATTTTACATGGTATCTACCATTGGTTCCACTGATTTTGTCACCAGAGATACCATCTTTGAGTGCATACAGGTTTTGTCAATTTGTATTCGACCTTTGACCCTTTTCAAAATTCTGTTTCTTTGTATCCAAGCTATAATCTGTTTCACTCTGATCAACTAAATGATTTTGACCATCATGAAGTCACATATGACCCCTGAAATCGATATTGATGATTAAAGTAACCCTAAAAATGAGTTCACCAAAAACACATTTACTATTAAGAACTGCCCACTGATGTAAATGTAGAACCATGTCAAGCTTCAATCAGTTTCGTTCAGCAGTTATGTAATGCTAGAACACAATCTGTACTTTATCTTCAGACAGCCTAGTCTCTGGAGGACAACACAGTGACACTTTCTGAATCAATTCACCCTTTATATTAACCAGCCATTGTATTATTGATTTCAGATGCATATAACAGGACAGTTGTAAGATCCAACGAGGACTACAAGGACCTATGATCATTGCCAATAACTGACCAGTGACCAGTGTGACTATCCTAGACATGGATGACCACTTATATTACTGACTTGGGATGCCCTCTGAGATTGCAGAAATCTGAATGAAACTCATCAATGTCTTTACTCTTCCCAACAACAATGACCATGTTTTAAGGTCAGACAGCTTTGACTTGTAATATCTCACACAATGATAAGTAGTAATAGGATCTAAGGGAAACCATATCAATTAAACTTCAGATCTGTTTTACAAAATCAAAGCAGTAGAATAAAAAACATTTTCCTACAGGAAATGTTTTGAAGTTGTCATTAAGGAAGTGAGATTTACATGTGGACATGTGATACTTCCTGAATGGCTAAGTTTTTAACTGTTTGTTTCTTAGAAAGTTTTATGGCCTCGTACCAATCCAGGTTATAGGAGTAGAGTATAGTAAGATCACTAAACAATCATTTTAAGGGCCACTGTACTATAACAGTGCAGCTGCATACAACATTCCATCTAAACACTTCCTGACAACAGACAAAGCCGTCCTCACATAACGCATTCATTAATTTACATTTATTTTTTTATGAGACAGTAGGGAGTACCACTTTACTTTGGTTTGTCTAAGTCAAGGGAGATAACCCCTTACTTTCCTTGTTTTAGAATAAATATTCCAACCAACACATGGTACCGTCTAGCTCAGTGAACAAATTGGGGATACAGTATGTTTAGTTTGTCTAAATCAGGGGAGATAACCCTCTTACTTTCCTTGTTTTAGAATAAATATTCCAACCAACACATGGTACCGTCTAGCTCAGTGAACACTGGGGATACAATATGTTTAGTTTGTCTAAATCAGGGGAGATAACCCTCTTACTTTCCTTGTTTTAGAATAAATATTCCAACCAATCCATGGTACAGTCTAGCTCAGTGAACACTGGGGATACAATATGTTTAGTTTGTCTAAATCAGGGGAGATAACAACTTACTTTCCTTGTTTTAGAATAAATATTCCAACCAACACATGGTACCGTCTAGCTCAGTGAACAAATGGGGGATACAGTATGTTTCAGTATTATATGAAACTGACAAATGGAAAAAGTAAAGTATCATAAAGTTACAATAAATTACAATAAATAAAGATTAATTCAGACACATGTTGATTACTATGGTTAATGTCCTGATACATTATATCTAGGGTTACCTACCGTTGTTCCTTTCTGGTGGAGAGACTTGCCTCTGTACCAACCTGTAATGATAATAAATATTCAAGGTCAAAGGTCATATAGAAACTCTAAAGCCATGTTACTATTGCTTGGTCACTACCATATTTCATCATGCAACATGCTTAGAGGGTAGTGGATTACTACTTACTCAATGTAAGGTTGTGGGCTTATTACAGGACCTCGGGGGGCAGTTCATCACTCCTTACTCAATGTAAGGTTGTGGGCTTATTACAGGACCCCAGGGGGCAGTACATTACTCCTTACTCAATGTCAGGTTGTGGGCTTATTACAGGACCCCAGGGGCAGAGTCATTTGAGAGTTCAATAGGGTTACTTGAAAGAGTTTTATTGAACAGTACCAAGTTTTTTTCTGACTGAATTGACACACTATTGACTACATTCACATCATGTAAGGTTGTCAGTAATGAGACAATGTCACCTAGTATAAGATAAAGGAAAGATAATAAAATATCAACCGAGGCACGGATTACTAGAAATGGTATTGGCAATGGATTCCAAGTATAAGATATAGTAACACACTGACAAATAACACCAATAACAGATCAAACTGACTCCCTCTGCAGTGATGATGGTATACATATCCTCCCTGATGGTGCTCCATTTTCTGATCTTTACATCAGTCTATTTAGTATAACAGATCAAAAATAGTTTTGGACCTACTTAAACCATATATATATATCCCACATATATGACACACACACAAAACCATACATAACACACATTCCATATCACAACATAAGTAAATGTTGCTTGTCAATATTTAATGATAAATATCTCTAGTGCTCAATATGGCAAACAAACAAGCTAAATCAGTCATTTGTTATCACTGCATACGGCCTGTATACAATATCTATTGATTACTTCGACGAAGAAATTATATTTGTTAAAAAAATCAGTAATACCTGAATTGCCAATTATGGAGTCAGCAGAAAAATGTATATCTACCTACATATATATATATGTATGTGTGCTTACACTTCTTCTAATATATCTTTTCAGTGTCATTGTAAATATTCTTATGAAATATTGTAAAAGTAACGGACAGAAGTGGCACTTAAAGATCTGGTAGCAGGTATCTATCATCTGTCACTACTTTTTGGCGCTGTTGGTACATGGGTTTGATCCCTCAAGGGGCACTTTTTTCATCCCTTTCACATTTCTGAAACAATGATCTATTCCTTTTACAATGGTAACATTATTCTTATGTCTCCTGACAATAAAAGAATGGTATCTACTGAGACAATGAGGCAAGTTATCTTCGGATGTTCTGCTAGATGACAGCCAGTATGCCATTTAAAGGTAAAACTCTACCACTGAGCTATAGACCTATTCCTTCCAACCCCAACCAGGAATTCTGGTAAGCAACTATTTCCGTACTAAATCTAAATGTACATAGAAATTTACTTCCATTAAGTCAGCACATTCTAAATACCTTACCACCTTAGGAATTTTATGACAGCTTACTGCTCCCAACTGTACATGTTATTGACAAATGAAGACCATACCCTAACCTTACCTTATACAAACCAAACATATAAAAACTACCTGTTGCCTGTGGTATAATATGACCACCATACCAAACTCCCAGTAATGCTACACACCCCAGCTAGGATTGGGAAACAATACACTTACAGTATTGGTTTTTATCTTACTTTCTGTCCATTTATAATTACTGGTATATATTTAGGTGAAAACCAATCCCATTATAATTACAGCAATCTCTAGGATATTAAAATGTACCTCGAACCTTACCGTATCTATCCAGCAATAAGCCCATGTCTGATAGTGGGCCCATCTATATAACAATAAGCCCATGTCTGATAGTGGGCCCATCTATATAACAATAAGCCCATGTCTGATAGTGGGCCCATCTATATAACAATAAGCCCATGTCTGATAGTGGGCCCATCTATATAACAATAAGCCCAAGTCTGACAGTGGGCCCATCTACATAACAATAACCCTATACCTGATAGTGGGGCCCTCTATATAACAATAACCCTATACCTGATAGTGGGCCCATCTATATAACAATAACCCTATACCTGATAGTGGGCCCATCTATATAACAATAACCCTATACCTGATAGTAGACCCATCTATATCACAGCTATAAGCCTATGCCTGATATTTGGCCCTCTAACACAACAATAAGTCCTTGTCAAATTGTAGACATATCCATATGACTATTTTTTCCAGTAGTATTATTGACAAATGATATTTCATTGCCCTGCAAGGCGGCCATCATGTTGACTTTTAGTTAGAATCTTATTTTTGCCTCCTATTGACTCATTGCAGGAAAAATGTGGTAGATTTCTGCATTAAGGAAGAATGCTTTTATTTCTGTAATACCACACTATACTTACAATAGCTAATACTATCATTTTTCTCTTTAAAAAAGCTAAGAATGTGTGCTTTTGTACCAGCATGAGGATGCCATACATATATATATATTATCTCCAAACATCTACAATATTACCCCATAACATGCAATATACGTTGAATCTCACAGTCGTACACCTATTGATTAAACTGTTCCATATTTGGGTAAAATCAATACCAAGCATACCAAATCATTATTATAAAATCTCAAAATCAATGTTACTCAGAATTACTTATAAATTCTGAAAATATGTTTGTCCTTGTCTTTAGTTCAGGTGTACCAGATAGTAATATCAGATTTCAACGTTTTTTTTTTGTATTTTTAGGGTAGATAGAAGGAAGAGAAGAGAATAAGGGAGTGAAACCAAAGAATAACTGTTTCCGCAGATATTTATAACCTGTGAATGTTACTGGTCAATATTAGGCCTGTGTATTTCATCCTTACCTGACACAGGTGACTATATACAGCTAACTAGGTACTGTTAACAATATCCAATACATGTACTCCAATTACCCTTAGTATAATAGATCACCTATATTTTAACAACTGAATACCCAAAGTAACCCAGTGTTTTATCCAGTCAAGAAACCTGTCGACCCTGTTGATACATCCCAGGTATATTCTACACCCAGGCAAATAAATATACCCTCTCTCTCTTATTGTTGACATAAAAAAAACATTTCTATTACCGTATTATAAAGTCCACACTTTGGGATACATAAAAAGTTCATAAATATATATATATATGTACTGGTGATTACTAGAATTACCAATGTCTATTTTATTGTCATGTCCTGTAATAAGCCCATCCTACCGACTTTGAGTACCAGGAAATGTGTTGGCCACTTGGGCTGACTGGAATATAAATAATAGGTAATTATATAAGTATGAAACCCATAAATATATATCTCTAACCAGGCCTTTTGGTCTCTTAAGGAATAACACACACAGCACCAAACAACAACTATAAAATCCACCAGCATCAAATACATAAAAAAAAATTGACAAAACGGTAATATATTGACCTTGACCTATCGACAGCTACCGTATCGGACTTAATGAAATGGAAAATGACCATGAAGTTTAACATGACACCGTTTCAAAAGAACCCCAGCGATCAGGTCAAACAATCAGAACATTTGTTTACATCACATCCATAATGTTATTGATAAACCACTATCATGCGATCAACAGAATTTCTAATGAGATATCTGATAAGTATCATAAAAACAGAACAAATTTATATTGATCTGTATTGGACTTAATGTCTGTTCTATCAGACTCATTACACATGCCCGTGGTTCCTTTAAAAACACACCAATCAGGTGACAGAAATAATCACCCCATCTGTAACAATATCAGACCAGCGACCCAAACAAACCAGAAGACGTGAAAATCCACCAATCAGAACACACCGTAGCAGACTTGGTCTACAGATGGTCTTCTGCTTTGGCTGGTGGTTTTTTTCTTCATTTTTACTATGAAGAACATATACAAGCTGTATAAATGACAGCTTGACTAACTGCTCGCAATTTGGGTTCAAGTCAATACATATAGGACATGATGGCCAACTTTTTCTTTGACCGAGCACAAATGAACATACTGCAAATATAAACAATTATATACATGTATAAAAAAAAATAAGACTAACTTTGTGCATATTGTTATGACAGGAGGAACAATTGCGGTAGAAACCTGAATATTTAATGAACAATACTATTTACCTGGCTTTCAAAACTGAACAGCAAAATTTACAGAAAAAAAGAAATTTATGTTCATTTCCCTTTTCAAGAAACTTTTAAACAAATGTTTTGTTTATTTTTGTTTCGAAGAGAACTGATATCTGTATGGTCATCAGGTTTCTGGACTGTGTGGTTGGCTATAACTGGAAACTCCTTGTCTGTTCCGATCAATGCCTGATACCTTATATACACAGGTCACTCCTTTCAGATGTACTACACTATACACCAGCAGCTGCCTATCTCCAATACCAAGCATTTCATTATAACAAACCTTTATTATCATATATAACAATGACAAAACTCTCATCCAATTCCGTTCTGTATTCCCAGTAAATCAGCACAGCTAGCTTCCCGTTAACACTAAAAATCTCAAATTATGTCTTTTTCTCGTGTCAAAATTCAGTGAATTCTGGAAAAAAACAAATTTATTATTTATGCGTTGAAAGTTATGTTGAGTTTATTTCTCAATAATAGTGCTCCTCTGTTGATAAAAACCAATGGCAATATTTTCAGTGTGCTTCAGTCAGTATTATTTCTCATGGCAAACAAGATACTCAGGAATATTGCCAGTTCCAAGGCTATAGGAAGAGCCACACTGCAAACAGAATGTACCGGTATGTAAACAAACAACTTTCCCATGCAACAACATATGCATCAATATCAATAAACTTTAGACAACCAATTTGACCTTGAACCTGTAAAGACCTTGACCTCAAAAAAACAGGCCTCAACCAATATTTACTGAGTAGGAAATCGTGACCTGGATATTAAATTTGACCTCTTACCTCAAAGTTATCTTAACTTTTTAGAAACAGACTTGAAAAAAGTTCATGAAACAAGACCTTGTCATATTAATACCTTGATGACTCATTAATTAT